TTCACAATTAGCTCCAGGGATTTAGTATTACCTTATAAATGTGTTTACACTTGCTTTATATAATTCCTAACCCATGTTGTAGCCCACAGTTACTTTCCTGAAAACAAAGAACTGTTAACCTATGCTAAGACCAATAGACCTCAGTAAGACTCCTGTACCAGTCCTCAACTCTGATACCTTCTGCATTACAATGCCACCATTTCAGAATTAATCCTACGATTCAAATTCAGCCTCCACCCTCGTCAACCAAATTGTTTGTTGAGACATTTCAAATGATTATAAAGACTGACAGCATGCTGTGTCGATCTTGTTCATCGTCTTATTTTCTCTTCTTGGAGGCTTCAGCAGCAGTCGTGTAGCTGTTTCCACGGCAACCACATTCCCTTTTTCGAAATGTATCATGTCTGATATTAGATACCGTTCGTCTCCATAGCAACAAAGCCCCTAAAGCCCCAGTTAAACATAAGATTTAGTCACTAAAAGGAAAATAACGACTTACCTTTGATACTGTCCAGTTCCTTGTCCATATCCGCTCGTCTCCTAAAAGAAAAAAGGGATGCTGGGATTGCTTGTTGTCACCACCATTCATGTTTGGTGGATGATCAAAATTGATTCCTGGAGGACTGCAGTCTTTAGTGGGATCTTAAACAAGGCATGATGTTCCCTACACCTGCAGTGTGTCCATTCATCTCTATTGATTCATATCTAGAAGAGGTTTTCGTCTGTCGTCCCTGTTTAATAGCTTCAGTGTTTAATCTGTCACTTTGTCACACATGACTGCCTTTCCATTATGTTCCTGAGGTCCGACACATTGACACGAGGCTTTGAGGACGGAAGCAGCGTTTTTTGCTGCTCTCTGTCATCTCCATCACCACTTGCCAGATGACACGTTTTGAAATACAATGTTTTCACGGAAGAGAGCACAAATCTTCACGTTCTAGTTTTCCCTCCAGAAAGCGGGAACATGCAGCTCATTCACGCTCTTCCACGGATATGTAGCTCTAAATATCCCTTTGCATTATTTGGATATATAAATGGGGGGGCTTGATGTCCTCATTGGTTTCTTAGAAATTCTTGAAATCTTGGCATTGGGTTAATTGTTACAAATGCAGCACCCTCACTCAAGTCCTGCCAAGCCTTTTACAACGGCAGTGATTTACCATCAGCACCTCTTGGTGGATTCATTTTTGTGATGTGTGACCAATCAGACAAAATAGAGGACCGATTGAAAGGACGGATGAATAGATGTCGGGTAATGACATCAGGCTTTCAAATGTTCGGCCTTTGTGTGGCAGATGCAGAAAGACAGCGCCAAGCAGCATACTAAACCCTTATGCTCTAAACTTTTATTGGTTCAATTCAAATGTATATATGATATTCAGATATTTTGACCATCAGAAACTCATCATTGTCATAAAATGTCCTAGACTTCAATGTGGATTGTGTGTTCAACTGGCAGCAGTGTAGGATGTTTACTATATAATGATGAGGATTTATTTTTCATGCACTTAACAGCCCAGACAGGAAACAAAGAACTGAGTTATTTCCCTGCAAGCCCGTAGTCGTCATCTCTTTTCAGCATTTCTTAAGAATTGTCCTCTCAGCGCTATGGTCAGAAATCTGCTGCCATTCTCTAGTTATTTGCTCACTTTCTGACAGCCGAAGTAAAGTGGTCGTTCGGAAAACATATGTTTCTCCTTTTGCAGTAAAGCAAGAAGGCACAGTTTGTTATTTTGGTTTTACTCGCTCTTTGCAGGGTTTACGGCCACCGCTTGTTGCTCATTTTGCTTTTTGAGCAGTTTTGAACAAATCTGTTATGAAACACTAAAGCCTTATGTATGTTGTTTGTCTAACATACATTACCTGAAACATTTCAGTTGCAACAGTGATATGAAGAGTTATAGTAAGACATAATATATCCTTACCTGATAATCATGTTGGCCGTAAGGTATGGACTTGGAAGCAAAGGAATACGTGCAAATTGGACATACAGTGTTTGCAGTCAAAGTATTGTGATCTGCAGGAGCCGCAGAGCTGCTTTTTATCTCAACAATGACAGCCAGATTTGGAAGATTATAAGCAGAAGGATGGTCTGTAGCACGGCCTCAGACAGAGATTTAAATGTACCCTGTATCAGATTAAAATCAGGACACAGTTCTGGATAATGTGTCTCCTCCCAGCCTGGGTCAGAAGACTGAGAATCACTAAATCACAGAGGGCTGTAAAATGGTTGCCCTGTTAGCAAGTGTCTGACATTAGTTGTGTATATTGTACATTGACACAGTCGGTGTCCAGCACAATGACCTTGTAAACCTCCAGGCCAGCTTTTGACTGGAGAAATGTTTGTGTCGCACAGTCTTGTCCTGCCTGCAGCTCCCTGCTGATGTCCCAGACTACCCAGCGCTGTTTGCTTAGCTCAGTCTCACTCCAGATGTGAGAAGCAGCAGGACTGGCCAGAGTCCACTTGGATGGGATAATAGCATGAGTTATAGGGGGTTTGTTTGTCACAGCTTAAACACTCCTCAACAGCACAAGTACTCTATACGTCTGACTCAATATACTTTTTTTAATTAAAAAAGTGAACTGGCTTACTTATCCTCCTAGAGCTAGCTGTATCTTTAAATCACCTAACAATATAGTGTAATGCCAGCCCATCATGTTTATGAAGTAAGAAACTTCTGGTGGTCTTTGCTTGGATCTCGTATGTTGGCTGACCTTGTCCTTTGCCTGAAGGTCAGTCATCTCCAGCAGTTCAGGTAGCGGCAGGCAGCGTGAGCATATGATGCTGAAACACCAATTAGCAGAGATCAGCAAATCTGAGCACATGCTCTAGGTGCGTTTTACAACCTTCTCCTTATCATTGATGGAATCCAACATGGCAAGCCTAAATATAGTCTGGCTTGGTTTATCAGAATAACTGCTGTTGGCATAGATCAGCGGATGTAACTGCCCTCCCAAGGTGTTGCCATCTGAGGCGGGTTAGATAGTGCGATAGTGAAATGATGTGGTAAATGGTGTGACAACTCATACTGCTTGATACATTTTTAGAAGGGGTTTAGGGCTCGACATTAACGACTGCCCGATGGCCCGGGGCAATCTAGTATTTAGCTCGGGCAATGAAGCCTCACCTGCTGGTTGCCCGATCGGGCAATCTATTATGGCAATTGTGGAGACGTGTCGGTGCCTGACAGCGGTCAAATCGGTTGGAAAACGATGAAAAAGTTGCCAAAAGTCGGTCAACCCGTCTTTCTTCATGGACGTCGCCCAGAGTTCCCGTTAGAATATTTTTTCGCCGGTCAACATGTCCGTTAAAGTTGAAATCTTCCGGACAAAAGTAGAAAAGTGCCGGTCAAAGGTCTTCTTTGTTATTTATTGAGCTTTAAAACAAATTGATATGATTCGATATTAAAAAAACTAATTATAGTAGATGAACTACATTATTCAAAAGTGTACAGTAACTTACAATAACACGGGAATAATAAACGGAGCGCTCTCCCCCTCTCCTGACACCCCGCCAGTATCATGCAGCTCGCGGATCCAGTAATGAGTGACCCGACAGTAAAACTAAACATATCTATAACTAGTTTAGGTAGTTTGAGAGGTAATTAAAATAGCTACGTGTGATATTCTAACCTAAAGTGTGTGTTTTGTTCCGCTCACCGCTGCATGTGATCATGCAGAGCTGCGTGTCGACCATAGGTGTCGACTCGTCAGCAGCAGCTGATCTCTCTATCCCGTCAGATTAGACTTCACTCGCGTTTATGTCCATATCGATCAGATCTAGCTAGTTCTAGCTAATGATATGACTACCTGCTTATTAAAAGACACCTAAACAATAAGCGTCGCTATGCAACCGGGTGAGGCCACAAAGTATAGCGCAGCATTATGCATTTGTTTACATGCCCACCGGAACCCCGAGGCATTACCAACAGATCAACGCACAATCAACCCATACAGTCTCCCAGACTAACAGTAGATAACATTACAAACATTTTTAACAGGGGCCATAATAGTGTAAATAATGTTTGTTTTCTTTGGCCACAATGGTGCACCGCAGTCGCTTATTATAGCTATCAGTGTCACTTTGAGAGTCATCAGTTTGTTTATGATATGTATCATCCTTTTCCCCGCATTGATTTTTAAATGGCAGTCAATCATGCAGTGCAGACTTATGCACTTAGTGAATGGCGTTTATACCGATCCCACCAACCAGCTCCAACTTTCTTTCCTATCCATCTATCTGCCATGAAAAGTTTTTTTTTTTTTCAGAAACAACAATAGAAACAATTTATACTTAGAGTTGTGATAAAACAAGTACGTTCTGCATGTGCTCAATATTTCAAGAATTTAGTGTATGAACAAGAGCCTTTATGTAAACACTGTTGTGTACCTTGGCTCAACTCGCGGTACGATTTAGCATTCCTTCACCGTCCCTAAGAACATGTGGTAACCGCATGTTCATTTAGCTTCTCTTGTGTGGAATGGCTCCTCCTTGCTGACCAAAGGCCCGATCCAATAGACCAGGCGGAGACTAACAAATGAAATGGGCTTCGGCAGCCTGTGCCCCGCCTCTGTGGGACTGAATGTGATTACTGTAATAACCACCTACATCGTTGGACATTTAATGGGATTAGCCTAAACTAAATTGTCTCAATAGAGCAGATTACAACACGGGGGACTTATGCGTGTGCCCGTCTGTATATCCACTTGCCGTGAATTAAGCAACAAGTCGCTGGTTTTAACATTTCCTGAACTTCAAGGCGTGTAGAGTTCAGGTCACTGTTTTGTACAGGCTCATTGTGAACACATATGATGTTAAGAAGAGCAGATATTCTTGCCACTGGGACCATCAGCTGATTTTGGTCTAGTAATCTTCCTGAGACCCTGCTATTTCAGGATTTTATGACTTAGCTAAGCATTACTGCGTAGACAGAACCCTGTGTTTAATGACGACTATTTGCTCATTTTCTTTCTCTCTGCTCTTCTTCCTGTGCTTCCAGTTGTCCGTTCCTGGCGCTGGAGCTGACTCCAGTCATCCCAGTCATAGGAGGTGTGCTGTTTATGTTTGTGTTGGGGACACTTCTCAGAACCAGCTTCAGTGACCCAGGGGTGCTGCCCAGGGCCACCCCGGACGAAGCAGCTGACTTGGAGAGGCAAATAGGTAAGACTCTACATTTAAATATTATATATATAATATATAGCAAGTATGTATGTGTGTGTATATATATATATATATATATATATATATATATATATATATATATATATATATAGAAAATGGGCCTGAAAACCCATTGTGGATGTGGTAAGACTCTACATTTAAATATTATATATATAATATATAGCAAGTATGTATGTGTGTATATATATATATATATATATATATATATATATATATATATATATATATATATATATATATATATATATATATATATAAAATGGGCCTGAAAACCCATTGTGGATGTTTGGGTTCTTTGCATCAGCATTTTCCTGTTCTCCTGTCTTCTCTCTATAACTCTACTCTCTGATCATCCATATGTATTCTTTACCAACTGGTGTATCTCCAGTCTCTTCCTCCCTGTCTAAACCTGCAGTTACTTTTTTATTTTAGATTCTGTATTTGTCTTTGAATAAGCCTCCATGAATTATACAAATCTACAGGAGCTTGTGTTTGCCTTTACACCTGCAATAAAGACAGCCAGGCCATCTTGCTCATGTCTGGAGTTTGTCTGTGTATCCAGAGAATGGGAATAAATCTTCCACTGATTTGACTAGAACCCTGCATGTAGGTTATATCCCCCACCTTCTTCAAGGGTCCACATGATGTATTTCCTGACTCGTAGGTTTTGTCCGGATCACTTCGGAATCTAATTTGTGATCTAAAAGGTAAAAGTGTTGGTACATTAGAAACCACTTGATATGGTGTAACTGAATTACCAGCATCACAGCACTGAGTCAGCTGACATCAGGGTTTACTCTGTTCATAGGATTCATAGCTGCCTTACTCTTTAAATGTAATTACGTCATAAAAAGATAATTCAATAATCTATTTTAAGTGAAACGCCTCAATGCAAGAAACCCAGTATCTGGATGTAGCCTCCGTTCAGCTGATTGATTTATTACCAATGCGATTGTGTAACTAGTGAACCATTACGAAAGTTCTCAGATGGCCAATCAAGACTTTTTTTCTTTTTGCTCTAAACACACATATGGAGAGAAGAGAATGGAGATGTGTTGCCTTCAGCATCAGAGTTAAAGGTGGGGTAGGTAAGTTTGAGAAACCGGCTCGAGATACACTTTTTGTTGTATTCCATGGAATGCTCTTAACATCCCGATAGCAATGAATATCTTAAGTGCTTTGACAAAAAATCCATAACAAAATGTCATCTCTGGAAGCCGTAGTACTGTAAAAAGCACCACCAATCATTTTAGCCGGCCTGGCTAAAATAACTGGATGGCCTACCTGCCTGTCAGCCTTCCATCTGTGCACAAACTTATCTCGTGCCCTCATTGGTCATGTGCGCGTTCGTGTGTGTTGGAGGAGGGGCTCTGTAAGGAAGTGGCAGACTTTTTCCGGCTGTGTATTTTCAAATTCTAGCGCACTCGAGCTGGTTTCTCCAAGTATTATAATTTAGTTGTGAAGTCTTTTTGAATTTTAAATTTGGAGCTATTGAAGTGCTTGCTACTGAATTAATCATAGCAAAAGTTCAGGACCACGATATGAAAGCAGTGAAGACAAATGTACCTGTTCAAAATGTGTATGAGGTCACTGCATAAAAGCAACTACCAGCCATAATAGATGATGCTACAAGTGCAATACTCTGGTGAGAGTATAGTACGCTACATAAAGCCTCTTCCAGAGGAGGCAAGGAGACAATGAAGGGCACATTCGACTGGAACTGGCCCTGGAAATGATGTCAGTTTAGTAACTTGATTCATCAGTCTTCAGAAGTGCCCTGCTGCCCTGTAGCTTAATGGATTATCATCAATTTACTCAAAGGCTTAACTTTTTAAACCCTCCTTTTAAAGTTTTGTTCTTTATTTTGGAAAGTGAAGCTTCTATTTCTCTGTGATGTTCCTTTCCGTGCTTCAGGCCATCGGGGCCTCATTAAACAAACTCCGGACTGTCTTAATTAATCTCATTAGGAGACTTAAAAGCCTTTGGAGGGAAGGTAAAGTACAGAGAGCTCAGAGCAGTGGGCCGAAACGGCACTGTGCAAACGTACCATGCTATATTGGCAAGCATCTTTTTTTTCAGAGGATAAACAAATTAAGAGCTGGAGACATAAACAATGTTGACCTAAATACCACACTCTGCCACCCTCTCTGCCATCCCTTCCTCCCAATTGGCTTCGGTGCTCTGCGTTTCCATGCACAGCAATCGGCTGTTTCTCGACCAGGATCTATTGTTCAGACACACACTGTTGTCTTGTTGTTGTTGTTGGTTGCCTGAAGCTAAATCTGTGTGTTCACGGGTGGTGAAATGCTAGAACAGATTTCACTAAGGGGAATTAGTTGGTTCTTTATTGTAACATTTGTCTCCCTAGTTTAATGGCGGCCATGTGTGTTTGCAGGGCCTCGACACAGCTTTGCAATGGAGTCCAGGGACCCACTAACCCATGCATTCAGACAGAAATACAGATAGAAACAATTCAATTGGAGAATGGCCTTTAGTTGCGATGCCCTAAAGTATTTGTTGCCTTTCCCTGAAACATCCAAAGCCATCCCATGGCTGCCAGTAGACTAATAGACTGCTTTATTGTCGGTGCCATTACAGTTCCCATTATCTTCCATTTGAAAGAGCTTGGCTTGTAATGGCGTGATCGTTTTGTACACACACAAACATAAATACTTCAGGTGGTTTGTGTCCTTAATCTAGGAATATCAGAATTAGGCTACTGGTAATTGTTACTGCATTTTCGAAAAGTATGTAGACATGTTTTATTCCTAAAGTCGCTTATTGCTCTTTTTCTTTCTGTCGGTCTTTTTAAAGTAGTGTCTCTGCTTAACTGTCAGGACTCACTCCCGCATTTTCTTTCTCATTCGACTGAAACCTTCCTTTTCACTTCAGATTTTTCAACCAATTAGTTTTTATGTAAAGTTGGAGACACTGGCAATAAGGGAGCAGCTGACAGACTTAGTGAGCATCAGTAGCTTTTTCACATGTCAGTGCTGCAATAATGTAATGGCTCTTTACCACTTCAGGCTTTGTTTATTTTGTATGCCTCTTCTGCATACGTTTTCTCTGTATTTGTGTTGCTTTTTGAATTAAAACAAGTTTGAGGCTGAGGTGAAGGCTCTTCAGGTTCCTTAAATACTTGAGCCACCAGTAGACTAAGATGTTTTGCATTTCACCATTAGCCTCATAAATACATGATGATGTTTTCAAGGCTCAAGTTCAACACTGCTCCTATTGATCTGTTGACTAAACATCAGGGGACATGATATCTGTACATCAAGGTCTCTCGTGCTCCCTTCACTTTAGGAGTAAAAGCTAATGGCTAAGCCTCCACTGTCATCATTTCAAACAGATAGCTCTATAGTCTGCCAAATCTCTGTGGAAATGAGGTTAGAGTGGGTGATCTCAAGCACAGCCTACTGTAAACAATATAAAATACGGCATGTTTGCATCATATACTATACTATATAAAACATAGTATGGTATCTTTCTCAGTAGCTTGCCAATCCTAATGCTGCAGAAATACTGTTTGCACCTGAAAAGGGCTGGGGAAAAGAGTGTGGGTTCAGGAAAGCTAGCGCAGCTTGTTGTTTATCTCTGCTTGAGATGGAGACAAGGGTTGATTTCTCTTCAGTGTGCTGCATTTTGATGCCCAATATGTCAGGATTAGACAGGCTGGCATCAATTCAGCTACCGCACACGCCAAATCCAAAATGCTCTCTGAAGCATTAATCGGAGTGAGAGATGGTCCGAGCTGCCTGTTTCCTTCCTTCCACCTAATATGGTCCAAGATGGCTGGTGAATGTCAAGGCAGCCACTTGGTTTTTCCAAAGCTGCCAGCCAGCCCCGAGGCCAGCAGAGGGAAGAGATTTTGGAGGCTTAGAGCTCAAGCTGCTGCAGGAAGAATGTGCACATCAGAGGATGCAATGACATTTAGGCATTTCCTGACTGAAGGAGCTGTCAATATGGAGTGGTTGAAGGTGGGGACTTGTGCTTCATTTTTTCTGTATATATTTTTGTGTATGTTCCCCAAACCTGAAGCTTCTGTAGACAAAGTATTATACTATAGCACAGGATTTACCCAGGTATGTGCAGAATGGTAGTCTTTTATTTTCCTTGGGGCTGGGAGTGCGACCCACTGCTTTGTTTTGGCACCAATTCACTGCTGGTAGTGTACCCTGGCTACTTCAACTCTAAAAATTGTGTAGTGTGTGATTGGCTGCTTGTGGAAGCTTTAAAAGCCAGACACGCTGTTGCTATTGCCATCAGATATACGCATTGTGTTTGGATTATACACTTTTTAGACTCTTTAAAAGTCCTAGTGGCGATGTATAAGCTGTTATTAGAGCAATATGGGGAAATGAAATGTGATTTTTCATACCAAGTTGCATAGCAAACATATTAAGTTTTAACCAGGTATTGGCAAATCTCAGACATTTATTTGTCTTTTTGTTATTAAAGTGTTCCTATACCTTATCCTTTAATTGGCAAAGCAAATCATTAAACCTGCATCATCATTTGAGTTGCATCCTGTTTTAATTATGTGTTTTATATTTGTTGTTATTTATAGTTTGTTGTGAAATCTTTTGTTGGGACTGCTTTTGTCAGTGTGCTTGCCAGAATCTTAATTGAGATGCCAAACTCTAATACACAGCCATCACCAGAGAGACGAACACAAGCCATTCAAATGAGGTCTATCCTAATCACATTAGCTTCAGCTTCCTCTCCCTGTGGCCATAGGACGCTGCAAACATGCTTGTCGGAGTTTAGCACCTTGTTGGTTTGTTGTAGCTTTCTGTGCCTGGAGGCAAATGTGAGACTGAATCATGAATACATAAACGTTTACTGTTATTAGGAGTTGATGTCTTCAACATCACAAGACGTAAGGGGTGGCTTCTTATTTCCTTGGCGTTTGTATAACCTAAATGCTGACCATTGTTCTGTAAAATGCCACTAAACATCAAAAAGATGGCACCAAT